TTAAATTAAATTAAATTATTTTTATTTTATTATTTTTAAACTTTTATTTGTGATTATCTTAATTTTTATTCCTTGTTAGATTTATATATGTTTGTTTTAGTAAAAAGTTATTTTAATCTTTATTATTAATAAATTTTTTTTCTAACATCAATTTTATATTTATATTTTAATGTTTAAATAATAAAAACATTTTAAAATAAAACACTTTATAATCAATTATTTAGTTTACATTTTTGTGATGGTTTAATTTATTTAAAAAATCTTGAACTTAGTTTAAACAGATTATAGTTTAATTTATATAAATAATAATGAAAATCAACCCTTTAATATTATATACCATAAACATATCACGGTGTCGATTTAATAAAATCTATATTAGTAAAAAAATTAATAATAAAAAATTCAAAAGTATAATGATAGTATAATTTTTTTAAAAATAAATTGATGATTATCAAATTAAACACTCAAAAAATATTAATTAAGTAATTTATAAAATAAAATTATATCAATCAAGGAAGTTATTTACAATTAGGACAAAAATTTAAGTCAGAGTGAATTTGATAATCACAATCACTACAATAACAGCCATTACAAACATCACATTTAAACATTGCTAAATTATTACAAATCAAACATTTAGAGTTGTTTTTCTCTTCTAGCTTTATAAAAGATTTTAACGGAGACATGAAATAATAGCTTTTAAATACGTTAGTAGGTGAAACTAAATGTAATTCACAAACAGGACATTCCATGGGAATATTACATATAGCGGCATCACATGTTGGACATCTATATAATTTAGTATTAAATGATGAATGACATGTACAAATTTGATTATCCAAAGACTTTTCCGGAAATCCTAATTTCATTAGTTTAATTTTTGTATTTGTGTTCTCAATTGGGAAAGTAAAAAAATGTAAAATTGTTCTGAAATGTATAGCATCTTCAGGAACAAAAAATTTTCCATTAGTGATTTCAGTAATACGTTTAAACACAGAAACTTCACCACACAAACTTATAATACTTATCTTTATATGCGCATCTTTTAATTCTTGAATTACACTATTAACAGTGTCTGTATCCCTAGATCCTATTGAACTTATAATAAAAAGCACCTCCTTCTGAAAGCTACTATTTTTTAACATTCTAATACAAGTCTTGATTGCACTTAAAAAAGAAAAGTCTTTCTCTCCAATGATGTTTAACAAATTTTTAGAAGGTTCTTTAAAGAAATTCACAAACGTATCATTAAAAGTTAAAAAAGAGAGTGTAGAAAGAGGATTAGTGAAATAGAAATCACTCTCAAAGTACTCTAAATTTTGTCCAATAAAAGATCGTAAATTGGGTAAATAATCGTTTTTTTCTATAGCGAATGAAACATCAATAACAACCAATAAGTGTCTTATAACAGCTTTTCTTTTATTATTAAATTTTTGCAATATTTTAAAGTCTTTCTTAATAATTTTGTTATCCACTTCTTCCCATGTTCTTTTATACTCTTCAGTCCATGAAAATTTATTCTCCATAGAAAAACAAATCATTTTTCTATTTAATTTAAATAATTTGAAAAAATTATTAAATCAATTAAAGTTTTTAATTTAATTAATTGATTAGACAATAAACAAGTAATTTAAATCAAATAAATAATTTAAAATATAATAAAAATGATTCATTTGATTTTTAATTGAAATTGATATAATTGTAAAGGAGAATAAAACACGAAACTGTCTTAAATTGACCAAAAGAAAGAAAAGAAATTATTTGTTTAAATTTAAGTTTCGAAGTAAAAACAATTTATAGAAAAAAATATTTGTAAACACCCTTATATGCGCCAAGACAAGATAGATTTAGATGAAAGTAAAGATAAGATTATAGAAACATGCAGCCAGAAAGTAATTTCACCAGTTGGATTAAAAAGAAGGCTTTCAACAGAAGCAGAAGGAAAGAATTCAAATCAAAGACAATTAGCAAGAAAAAAGATTGATGAAAGACTATGTTTTTTCTGTGGACGTAGACTTAAGTTTTTCAATACATACAATTGTAGATGTGGTTATAATTTTTGCGTCAAACATAGATTCTATGATCAACATTCATGTTCGTTTGATTATAAGACTGAAGCAAAAGCAGTTCTTAAATCTTCGAATCCAAAAATTACAGCAAAGAAAATTGAAAGATAAGAATACATGTATATAACTTGTAATTTATAATAAATTACTTAAATTTAGTTTAATTAACTTCCAATTTTACATATTCATTGAATTTATAGTCTTTTATAATAAAATCTTCAAATTCGAAAGACTCAAAAGAAAGATATTCTTTATCTTTCAACCTAAGTTTGGGAAATTGATATTGTTTTTTTAAAAGGACTGGTTCTATTATTTCAATATGATTGTTATAAACATGACAATCATTTAAAAACATAACTAATTCATGGGGCACAGTATTAGTTAATTTAGCTACAATGTTAGTAAGAAAAGCAAAGTGTGCAATATCAAATGGCAATCCTACACAAAGATCAACACTTCTCATATTTACACTACAGCTTAGTTTACCATCATATATTCTAAACTGAAAAGAGACTTGACATGGTGGTAATGCCATTTTAGTGAATTGTGAAGGATTCCATGCTGTTACAACTAGTCTTCTTGAATAAGGCTTTTCTTTAATTGTTTCTAATATGTATTTAAACTGATCAAATCCTTGATTGGTATAATCAGTATGACATGTTTCGTAAACTGCACCAAAATGTCGCCATTGCCATCCATAGATTGCACCCATATCATCTTCTTCTAAATCTGTATTGTTCTCAACATGAAATTTTTTAGTTGTATTTTTATTCCATATAGGAACTTTTTGAGCTTTTAGAATTTTATTATCGGTTTTACCCGAAATAAATAACAACAACTCTCTTAATACAAAAGCATGGTTAGTTCTTTTAACAGTGATTAATGGTATGGTGTTATCAGCCAGTGAAAATCTTAACACTCTTCCAAATAATGACCTTACACCCACACCTGTCCTATCGTCTGAAACATTACCTTTTTCAATACATTCTTTTATTAAAGAAATATACAGTTCTTCTTCTGAATCACTCTTAATAAAACTACAGAATAAGTAGATGTATTTTAACATAATAAGGGTTTAAATCAATTTTTTTTAAATACAAGAAAATTAATATTTTAAATTAAGTAATTTGAATTTTAATGATAAACATATTAAAAAATAGTGTTTTTATTCAAAGTTTTAGAAATTTTCTTTTAATGACTCATATTACATAATTTAGTAATAATTAAATTACATAATAAAATTTATTAATTTAATCATTTTTAGTAAAAAATAAAAATTTAAAACAGTTTAAAAACACACTTTAAAACTTTCTTTCTATTATAAAATTACATTTATTTTTTAAAAACAACATCTTTAAATTATTCTCTTTATTTTTTAAAAATATTTCATTTTTAAAGCTAAGCATTGAAAAGAAATTTATATGTAAGTGTTGCAAACTCATCTTTTTAACCTTTTAGAAAATGTATTTGAGAAATTATTATGCTTATAAAATTTGATAAAAAATTTATCTATCGAATATATGAGCAGTAAAGAGTGAGTTAATAAATTATAATTAAATAATTATGGAATTTTTAACATAATTTTTTTATAAATAAAATATTTTCTTAATTTTAAATCTGTAAATATTTTTATAAAAAAGTTTTTAAATAAAATTCTCTCTTTTATGTATATTTAAATTTAATATAGTTCAAATAGTATAAATATTTAAAGTATTAATATATTTAATTTCTTTTAATA